AGATGGTGCTACTAAATTTGTAGGCCCTGCGATAATTGCGCAAATGTTTCTTAAATTCATTATTAAACTGGTAAAAATACACAATTCAATTGATAATGGACACTAAAATCAGTAGTGCACAAAAAAAAATTCTGACTAAATCTAAAAGATTAAACTGTATTTAGTTAACCTCCCTGGCAGTAATCCCGAGTCTGGCTCTGGGGGGGGGGGTTGTGCTTTTTTTTTTACACATTTTTAAAATTTAATATTTTTTATTTGTAACCCCTGACTTTTCCCTTTTGAAATTGAGGACACAGAGTCCTCAGCACTAAAATGTTTACTATCAACAGTTTCTGAATGGGGAAAAGCCGCTGTAGTGAGTGCTTCTCCCCATTGAGAAAGTCATGAATGAACAGGAAGTGATGTAAATCACATCCTGTTCATTCATAACTGGGGACACATAGTACTCTGTGTCAGACGATCACTCCAGTGTTTGTACTGCACAGAGGATTGGTAAATATTACTGATCCTTCGCTCGGCCACGCACACAACCGCTGTCATCCTGAAACTGACAGGATGAGAGGGGCTGCTCTCTCCTCCCCACCCGCCGCACATTTCTATTTTGATCCTTGCTGCCTTGGCCCATACAAGCGGGGGAGAGCAGCAGGGGTCCATGGAGACACAGATCCCTGCCTGGGGTGGCTCCAGGCAGGGATCAGAGGCTCCAGATGCAGGTGTGGGTGGGGGGCGCCCTAGTTTTTTGTTAATAGCTATCATCAGCAGCTTGTGAGCCGCTGATGACAGCTATTAGTTTAAAGGGGACTGTCCAGGGAACAGTTCTGCTATAAGTTCATGGTTGCTAAAGCGACCATGAGCTTATAGCAGAACCGTAAATGCCACCGCCGTAAGGCATACTGACACCTTCCATTTGGGAACAGTTTTGTTCCACCACATGCCTTATGGCGGTGGCAGGGAAAGGGTTAAATATCGTGCCTGGGGGGTCCCCTCAACCTGCCTGTAAAGTGACAAATCTGTACAATATATAGAACTTGCTGCAGCAAAACTGACATTAAGAATAAAAAAAAATTGTCTTTTTTTTTTCTTTAGAAAAGTGTGCAGTCCCCCCCTCCCAAACAATACCAGACCCTTTAGGTCTGGTAGGAATGTTAGGAGGGACCACATTTTTTATTAAAAAGCGTGGCGTTTCCCCCAAAAGTCATACCAGACCCTTTAAGTCTGGTAGGAGTATCGAGGAGGGACCCCAGGTAAAAAAAACAACAAAAAGTGTGTGGGGTTCCACTTTAAAGTCATACCAGGCCCTTAAGTGATAAGAAGGAACCCCACCCCCAAAAATGGGTGAAAAAAACGTGGGGTTCCCCCCTAAAATTCCATACCAGACCCTTGATCTGAGCATAGGCCTGGCAGGGCCGGAAAGAGGGGGGGCGAGCAAGCGACCCCCCCCCCCCCCCCCCCCCCCCCCGC